ATATTCAATATGAATTTGCCCCCAAATCTGCAGTGGTCCTTCAGGCTTCAGCCACTTTCCCTCACTGCAGAGGAAGAATACTTTCTTCAAACTGGCTACTTAAAATAAAGGTGGGATTGTTGGTATTTATTTCCCCTTGCTTGTTTTATAAGCAAATATAAATCAACACTGTAAAGATGATTTATTTAATACTACCTCTTCTTTTCAGTCACATTTCAGAGGCATTGTAGCCTGAAACAAGAGCATATACAGGCTATGGAGTCAAATGGACCTGGCCTTGAATTCTGGATCAGCTCCTCATTGAGCGATCTTAGGTTACTTAATCTCTTGGTAAAAATGGGAATAACCACACCTACTTCAAAGGGCTGTTGTGAGCATTAAATGAAAAAATGAACGTAAGATGTTTAATACATATAGCATTTGCCACAGAGCATGAATATAATGATAGTAACTGGTATGATGGTAATGGTGATTATTTCTCTCGCCACCTTATTTTTTCATTCATGTTTTGGTTTCAAGAAGACAAAGAATCTTTGTCCAATTTTAACTTTTTTGAAACCTCCAGCTTTCAAGTAGGATATCAAACCGTGATAACAATAGTTTGAGAGTGGTGTTCCACTCGAAATATCTAGAGTTTAATATCTGCCTTCTGTTTTACCAAACCAGCAGATTTCTTTCATAGCTGGAAACATTCCTGAATTAGTCTATGGCATTTTTCCTAGGGTGAGAGACAGGCTTATTTCCTCCTGGAGATTTTTACCTCATTTATGTCAGGGTCCTCTAGGGTCTGCTGTCTGTAAGCTCATTTAGGGCAGTAGCTATACTGCGTCTTATTTGCCTTTGCACCTTCAGTTTCTGACACTGGCCTTGCACAGGCCTACCACAGAGTAAGGACCCACCAAGATGTGAGTGGATATAGGATGGATAGAAGGATGTAGGGATGGCACACTATGGTGGGTGTGATGATGATTATGACACGGTCTGGTCTACAAGGCCAAGTCTGGTGGGGGACATAAGGCAGGAAATCACCCTAGCAGGCACGGGACAACACATCCTGCCAAGTGAGGTACAACATGAAGAAGAATACACTGTTTTGGCCGAACAAAAAGGTATGTGTCAGTGGTACAGATTGTGGTAAGCAGTATACCTGAGGTTAAAAAATTACTGTATTCTTACTTCATTCTGTAGGCTATCGGGAGCTATTGGTTTTAGAACTGAAGAAGTACAGTCAGTTTTCATTTTTCATAGTAGTTATGTTGTATAAAGTTGCTGCAAACACTGAGTTAGCAAATACTTAATATTGCTCCTAAGAGAAGTACAGAGTTAAGTTCCTATGAGCCTCTGGTTACAAGTTTTCATCAACCAATCAATACATAACTTTGTTTTATGTGTGTTTCTGTTTTTGAAGATACTTTATTTAATGTATAATGTTTCATTAACATTGAGCTCATGGCCAGCAATACTATAACTCATGCCTGAATGAAGTTTATCTAGCACACACATTTTCTCCATAAGGCATTTCACAGCCTTCTTAAACTTGGGAACACCACACAGCACTTCAGGAGTATGCCTCGGGGCCATTTCAAACAGCAAAATTACCCAAAAACAAAAATGCAAAAAGCATGACACTAAATCTACCAGAGGAAGGACATTTGTTTATACTGTGAGAGCTAAAATAATAAAGCAGAGTATTGCCTGGTTCAACCGCATTTGGGAACATGGGTATCAGGCAACTCAATTTTTCACCACTCTGCACATGTTCTCACATGACCATGAAAGTACTGCAAGTATGGATTTTGGAGTTACAAATGAAGGTAAACGAGTAGATGAATTTGTAAATATTAGAATCTGGAGTCATGAAGACCAATATGGTCTTACTATAATATGAGCTGTGTAGCCTTTTAGAAACCCTTGCATAGCATTTTGCCATTTTCAAAAATACTTCTCCCTGTAACTTATAAGTTAGTCTACATTTATTAATTTAATGAACATTTAATACATACCTAGTTTTACCAGGTACTTGCTAGGCACTAAAGATACAAAATGTGACCAAAAGCCCTTACAGATGAACAAACAAATAAAGATATTCAAAGGTCAAAAGTGTTGTGATAGTCCATGCTGGCTATAATGGGAACCCAAGGAATAGTAGAGGCTTTAATTCTATTTGGAGATCAGTAAAGCTTCACAGAAGAAACAGGATTTGGACAAAGTATTTTTAAAAAGGAATAGCAACTGAATTTAAGTAAAGAAAAGAATAGCAATAAAATGGAGTGAACTCTGATATATGAAACAACTTGGATGGGTCTCGAAGGCATGCTGAGTGGAAAAAGGCAATCTCAAAAGGTTGCACATACTGGATGAATTCCATTTATATAACATTCTTGCATTGACAGAAATATAAGGATGGAAAATAAGTTAGTGGTTGCCAGGGAATAAGGATAGATGGTGTGATTGTAGGGGATGGGTGTGACTATAAATTTCATAGCTTTATTCTGTATCTTAATTGTAGTGGTGGTTACACAAATCTGCACATGAGATAAAATTGCATATAACCATTCACATACACACACTCAAATGAATAGACGTAAGAACTGATAAAATGTGAAGGAGGCCTATAGTGTAATGAATAGTATGATACCAGTGTCAGTTTCCTGGTTTTTTATTATACTATAGTTAAATAAGATGGTACTATTGAGTGAAGCTGGGTGAAGGATACAAGGGACTCTACTATTTTTGAACATTCTGGTTTATAGGTTTTTCAAAATAAAAAGTTAAAAAAAAATAAATGGACATTTGCCAAGCAGAAGTATGAACAAAAACCATAGGAATATAAGCCAGCATATGTTGGGGAATTGCAGTTTTCTGTGATGGAATTTAAGATATGAAGTTAGACACAGAAGGAATTGAAATAGGAGATGAAAAAATACTGAAGAGTCTTCTATATATTAATCTAGCAAATATTATTCGAGCACCTCTTATGCATGAGAAATTGGGGATATGGTAGTGAATAGGCTAGACAGAGGTCTTGCCCTCACAAAGTAAGTCTAGTGGAAATTTGAACTAGTTAAGATAGGTGTTAACCCTTGTAATAAAGACGAGAAATTTAGGCTTATAGCTGCCAAGTGGCTAACACAAATTGACATAGCTAATAAGTTGCAGAGGAATGGCTCCACTTAGGTCTTTTGATTTCATATTTTTGCCTTTTCCTTATCGTCTAAAATTTGTGGATTATTTTTATCAAGAAGGATTAGAGTAAGGAGAGCCTGGAAAAAGGAGACCAGATAGGACTATTACAGTAGACAAGACAATAGGCTGTGGAAATCCGAACTAAGATGGCATCAGTAGGAATGAAGAAAAGGCAGCAGAATCAGGAAAAAGGGAGAATCAGTGAGATTTGGTGATTGTCAAACTGTGTCCGGTGGGGGGTGGGGGTGGAGAAGGAGGTAATTTAGACGTTCCCAGCCTGAATGACGAGATGGTATTTACCATGTACAGAAATCAAGGAAGACAGATAAGGAAGCATTTCACTTGAGACAGATTTGTTGAGTCTAGGGTACCAGGAGAAAGTCTAGGTAGTGCTTTCTAACAGAGGATAGAGATTTAAACCCTGAGACTAGCTCAACACCAGAAAATGCCCCTGGCAGTGACTGGAGTGCATTTGAAGGACATAGTGACAGACAGTATAGGGTAGTGGTTAAGAGATTGGATTCTGGAATCCCAGACTGAATCTCAACTCTGCCATTTCCTAACTCCTTGATCTTGGGCAAATTACTTAACCTGTGTAGAGCTCAGTTTCCTCACATATGAGATAAGGATGATAGCACCTACTTCATAGCGCTGTTGTAAAAATGAAATGAACTGATACTTATAAAGCACCAGCATGTAGTAAATGCTCAGTATATCTAAGCTGTTATGATGAAGTTGATGGCAGGAAGAAGAGGAAAGGTTTTTATAAGAAAACGCATCATTTATGTTCCTGACCAGATTGAAGAAATACACAAAGGTGTTTTAAAAATATGTTTGAGGGAATTAAGCCATTTCATGGAAGCTGAATAGAATTCAGAGCCTTCACAAAATCTGCTTTTGCCCTTTCTACTCTACAAAGGACTTGGGAGTGGTAGGGAGTGATGACAATGAATAAAAAACATTTATTTTTGTGCCATTTTGTGTATAATCAAGTATATTAGTTCTCTGAAAGATAGATATTATTCCCACTTTACAGGTAAGGACATGGAAGCTTAGGGAGCTTAAATTTTTCAGGCTTGCACAATAAATGTCAATACCAGTATTTAATTCCCAAAACTCAGGTCCTTTCCCCATACCATGCAAACATAAAATGGCGTGACTGTTACTGATTACATACAGGTATGTTGATGTATTTAAACCTTTACAAAATTACTTACTTTGCCCCAGAAGTAATTTTATAAGGGGTTTATAAAGCACTATACCATTCAAAATAGCTATATCAGAAATCAAATAAACTTTTGAAGGCTTTACATACAATCCAGTCTGACTCCGTCGGGCCATAAATAAAAATCATTAGTTCTGTGCTCAGTATTCCAGGTGCTTCTGCAGACATGCTTTACTCACTTAAAGTCTGTATAATAAACCCATTGTAAATACAAACAACTGCAAACGTGTATATGTGCAGATTAACCTTTTCTAGACACTCCTTGTAATTTTCAAAGCCAGGGCTGGAGTTCCAGAGTGCATTAGCACTTGCATCAACATGCCAAATCCTCCCCTGGGCCTCACTGCAGCCCCAGCCCCAGCCCGCTGCACCCTGACCACACCCCGATCTTTACCTAGCAGCAGGACCTCAAAGCTACAGGTTTAATGTCTGTGGCTGAATCCCAAAGCTGAAGATCCCTTTGACACTTCCAAATTTATTTCACTTTCCTTCCTCTAGTTGGCTTTAACGTAAGAGCTCTGTTGTAAACAGGCTTTCCTCTTGCATGTATTTTAGACTTTGTGAACTAGAAAAGACCCCTATTTTATAGATGAAACAACCAAGATACAGAGAAGAAAAGAAACTTGATCGAGGCCTAGGAAAATCAAAAGATACCAAAAGCAGAAATGCTTGGCCCAAGTTTACATAGTCACAAAATGAAGGTAAGATATGTTTTTTAAACAAACAAACAAACAAAAAAAATTATGCACATCAAATTATTTGGGCTTGTGTCTAATTTATTTGAGTATTCCCTAGTACTGTGCTTGGCACATAGTGGGCAACTAATACTGAATTATTATGTGTATAAGTCAGAAAAATTGTTAATTCGATTGTAGGAAACAGTTGTGCATATTAGAATGAGTCAAGGAAGGAGGAGAAATAAGGAGCTAATTGGCACCCTGGGACTGAGGTGCTTACCTCCCCCGTGCCCCCCGCAGAACCTCTTCCCTCTCATAGCCCTTTACTGGTTTGAATTGCAGTGGGCTGATTTCTTGTCTGCATCCTGTCCCAGGTTCTCCATTGCTTGGGGACAGAGATAGTGCCTGTTCACTGTTGTGTCCCAGTGCCTAGCGCAGATTCCAACATTGTAGTAAACACTCAGGAGATATTTGTTTAGTAAATAAATGAAAAGAAATGAAGTATTCCTACTCATTCATGCATCCACTGTTTTTATTTGGTTTTTGCTTTTGTATTTTCCATCTCACCAGGCAGAAGCTCATGGTATCCTCGTGGCTTGAGCAGAGGCAAGAGAAGGACTACAGTATAGTGACATTCACCCTCACTTATTCCTGGTTTCCCTCTGTGTCTCTCCCCCTACCTCCACGTTTCTCCCTGCCCCCTCCCCCTGCGCAGTCATGGAAGAGAACTCCAAAGTCTTTGGGGGGAACCATGGTATCTCTGGAATTTAAGCTCTAGAAGTCACCCATCTGGTTAAAATTTTCAGGTGTTTTTGTTAACAGCCAGTTGCTAGCCTCTCATTTTGACATCTCCAGCAGGACATTCTCAGAAGAATGTGATAGACTAGGAAGGGAACTAACCTGGGAGCCAGGCATCCGGGGCAGAATCTCAGTTCTTTCAGCCATTTGTTGTGTGATTTCAAGCAAGGTACATACTTCTCTGGGTCTTATTTTCTTCATCTGAAATATGAAGAGATTAAAATAAGTGCTTTCTTAATCTTCTTTCAGCTCTGACACTATGTGACTCTATGATTAAATGACCTGCATGTAGATAATACCTGCCCTGTTGACAGCACTATTCTGAAAACTAGAGTGAAACCATTGGCTTTCTGGTCGTACTGGCTTTATTTAAGATTGTCTTCTCTCCTTTTATATGAGAATCTCTCTGTCCCAGGCAGTTTATGGGGACTTAAGCTTTTATTTACTGTAGCTGGAGGCTCCTATAAGCTGGGGCTTTGACAGTATTTCACATTTATTTATCTGAGCCAGAGCTTAGGATCAGGTGGCAGCTGAGTCACTTAAGGTTATTCAGATGCATTGAAAATGTTCCTTAATAATTCAGAACCAGTTTTCTCTGTTTAGAGTATTAAGATTTTTTAAATCCTTCTAATTAGCCAATTCCAACAGCAGTTTAAATAGACAGGGAAAAATCTGTCCCTTCTGAAAGGACAACTGATGCAAACTTACTGTCAGTCTCTGTGCAGCAGGACTGACTGAGGCAAGGGCCAGAGTCCAGAGCCAGGGGACCACTAGGGTGACCTGTTAATGGTATTATTGACAAGCTCTGCCTGCTGTTGGAATGAGACTAGGGCGAAGGGGCCTGGGAGTACAGCTCTTCTTGACTCCCTTTCTTTGGATTGGTGGACACTCCTGGGAGGAGTGGGGAACCCCCATTCAGTCATTCAGTAGGTCAGTCTTTCAACAAACATTTGTTGAATTCACACTGTTTACAGCAATACACACTAGGCTTTGAGGACAGATAGCCAGTGAAACCTCATTTTGTGCCCTCAGAATTTAACCTAACTGGAGAGACAGACTCATAGACAAACCTGAGAAGCACAACAGACAAATAACTCAGCGTGAGACTGTAGCTGATCCTTTGAGCTAGATCCTCCAGAAATGGGTAGCCTTGCCTGGTCAAGTACAAGTACAGTACAGCAGTGCTGGTTTAGCAAAGGAAAAGGTCAACTTGCCAGTGTCTACATTTCAGTTCAGACACTGATCTTAAGTCTGCCAACAGACGTTGGCAACCACCCTAGAGGGATTAGTGCATCAGATGTGGACTGACCACATGCAGGGCATGTGTAGAATAGGCACTTGAGGGAGAGACCACAATAAACATATATGGCCTCTGTGTTCCAGGAGCCCATGGCCCAGTGAATGGGAGAAGATGCCACTTATGATTAACTCTGTTACAAGGAACCAAGGAATGGGATTAATTTAGGCTCTGTCACTTAGGCCTGGTTTTGTAGATGAAGTAGCATTTGAGATGAGCCTTGAAGGATATAGAAGTTTCAACAGATGGAACTGGGGAGGAGGGACAGTCCAGTAGAGGAAACAACATAAGCAACGGTTCAGAGAGAAGTATCAGACATATTTGGGGAATAACAAACTGCTCTAATTGGCTAGAGCATAAGGTCTGTGAGGGGATAGTATTTAGAGAAAGAGTGTTGGGGCTAAGCCACCACCACCCTTTCAAAACATTTAGCCCCAGATATCACTTATTTGATGTATTTTTTCAAAAGAAAATAGAACATCTATTTTGCCGCCTAACTTTACAAATGTTGTTAATAGAGGCTTGCTCTGTATTTTTCAATGTTCCATGATGTACATCTCTGGTTTGATTATTTATTCAACAAGCATTTATTGAAAGCATATAATGCACTAGGTTCTTTTCTGGAAGCTGGAAATAGAGGAAACACACAGTTCCTTTAAGTTTCTCAGTCTTATCCAGGAGACATTCGTGTAAAGCGCAGTGGAAGACAAGCTGTGTAGATGCTCCTAGCAGGTATTTAAGGGTACATCGGATACAACATCCTTATTTATTTGTTTGTTTGTTTGTTTTTAATTACAACATCCTTATTTAACAGAAGGAAACTCAGAGGAGGAAAAGTGACTTGCCCAAGATCACACAGATAGTTAGAAGCTGTATGCTAGAGTTAGGGGCCAGGTTTGGAGTCTCTCAAAGGGTGCTTGTTCCCTTCTCTCCTCCTCTACACTGAGCCCTGAACTTCTGTGGACATAAGGACTGAACTGACAGGAAATGAGCATGAAGAAAGTCTGGCTAGGTAAAATACATATCCCCAGCCACCTTCAAGTACCACTTCCTTAGCATCTTCTCTCCTAAATAATTATTTCTCATCATGGTACTTTTCCTTAAGTCCAGAAGAGTCTGAGAATTTCTGGTATAAGTTTGGTTTTGTACAGGCGCCTGCTGGACCAACCTTCAAAGAAAACACCTGTTCTGTTCATGATTCTTGCCTTCCAGTTTCATAAGCTTTTGGGCAGATGAAATGTAATATCAAAATAGCTCAGAGAGAGCCTTGGTAACATTTAAGATATTGAACGTGCTGCATCTGGTAACTAGAAAATTTAATGATCTCCTGCTGTTTTGGTAATTGGATAAGTAAATACATCAGAATAAATCACACCGGCAAGTCTTTTGTATGTCGTTAGGGACTCAACTCTTTTAACTTCTGTTCAAAGCTCCATCTCTTGAGCGGCGTTTGCGTGCAGAGTTACGCACACACCAGCTCATGTGGCCCTGCTTGAGTACTAAAATGCATTCAAAATGCTCACTTTCCCCCTAGCCACTCTGCCTGAAGAGCACGCCGAGCATGCCACTTCAGATCCCTCTGAAGCCAGGGAGAAAATTTTTTTCAAAAGTTCAAACTAAACCTAATAAGACATTCAAGCCCTTCATGATCTATCTCCAAACTGTCTTTCCAGCTATGTCTTTCATTATGGTTGTGCTATAAGCCTTGCCAGAAACACCATCCATTTACAAATTGGGAAAATGAGGCCAAAGCAAAAGGGGATTATCCTGTTGTAGAAAGGAATCATGTAAGAATTTTAAGTAGGAGAGAGGCAGGATCAGACATTTTGTTCAACTCTCTCAAGTGACAGTGTGAAAGAGAGACCCAGAGGGAAAGAGGGAAATGGTCCATTAGAACCTGTTAGGTGGTGGATGATGTTGTCACCAGCTTGCAGATGAAAAATTTGGGTCTTCTGGAGGTTAAATGACTTACTTAAGAGCATACATGCAGAACTAGAATTCAAAACCCACCAGTGCTTTTTCTTACTGCCTCTCTAATTAGCACTTAAAGGCCTAGTGGTGAAACTGTCAGGAAAACAGTAATTAGGGTTTTTCAGAAGGTTTTTATGCTGAGGTAACAGTTCTGAACTTGACCAGTTAACAGGTTTCTCTCCAAACACAGTGGTAGCATTATAGGCCAGTCTTTTATCAGAGGCATCTTAGGAACTGTTTATACAAGGACCTCTCTGCCTTCCATGATATCAGCTCCTGAAAGTGAGGCATGTGCCCCAGACCAATGCTTCCAGCCTTTTGCAAGTCACTGCACACATTGAAAATGTTTGTGTGCCTCATTGGAGTAACCACACTAAGCTGCTCAGGGTTAGAGGCAACCCAGCCCTGAGGATCCTAGTTGCCCTAAGGGATGAGGAAGCTGGCATCCTGGCACACCACTGGGGCTAATCTGCATAGATTTCTCTTGCCACACCATAGAATCCTCATTCATGAATTTGCCTGTACCTCCATTTATTATGCTTTCAGGGACAGTGAGCTTGCAAACCATTCTGTAAAGTAGGACTTCCTTTTATGTACTTGAAATCATGTCTTCCAGAGCCCAAGAGGGACTAATCTTGGGAACTGTCTTCCCAGAATGAAGACACATGCATGTTCTCATTTTTTTATGCTATTCTTTTACTTTTTTTCTGCTTTTTACATTCACTCTGCACACTTGGATCTTCTGTTTCTAGACTAAAGAGGCTTTCCTTTCCACCCTCACGCTACTCATCTTGATAGAAGCCTCTCTGTTCTCTCTGAGCTTTCCCCCTCAACACTGTTGTTTAATAGTGTAGTGACCAAAGCCACTATCAAGGATACCAGTGCAAGGAGAGGGCCACATCTTTCATTTGGCCTTCAGGGTCTCCCTGACAGTATGCCAAGTTTGAGATCATTTTGA